ATGAAGATACTTATATATAGATTCAAATAAAAAAAAAAACCCTGTGCCAAAATCATTTAGTATAAGTAAAAAGTCTCAGATATTAGGTCTAGAATTTGAATTGGATTATGTGAGAGGGAGAATTTCTTCAAGCAAGTGCTACTGAAAAGAGGAAATTTTAAGGGGGGTGATGTATTACCTTGACTTTGAATCGATTAATAATCACACCTATTTTAGCTTTAGGGCTCAGATGTTGCTCGGCTTTGGAATCTACAATATGTGCAGTGTTGTGAAACTAAGGATAAACAGGAAAAGGAGAGTACTTTTTTTAAACTAGTAGATCGAATCATGTCCACATTTGTTTTGTTTTAGTATATACATTGCATTAAATGCAACATACTGTAAGCAGTTCTTTTTTTTTTTGCTTCTGCTCAAATACAGTTGCAGACAGAACTATTGATATCCTGCAAAACTGCAATCTCTGAAAGAAGGTCATTGAATAATTTATTAAGGGTAATAAATATTTGGTTCAGTGATAGTCTAGAGATAACATACTGTAGATGCCTGTCAGCACTTGCTTGATCAAATCTTTTATATCTCTCATGTCTCAATTAATTTTGAAAGCTGTTTTCAGTCTTCTGATTGAGAGGCAAATTTTTACAATATGTAATAGTAGCTTTTGAGTACTGAAGTAAAATGGTCGTAAATCATATATATGACTACATTTTCTTTTAAAATGACCCTTCTGCATGAGGTAGTGGTTTTGGTATAGATTTCCCTTCTCATTAGCTTTCTAAGACAATGGTGTTTTGGTTGCACTGTAATTTTGATCCCTTTACGTTTTTTACAGTACAGTTCCTTTAGAAAGTTTACCCACCCTTTACAAAGTAATACTGTACATTTTGTAGCCTGAAATCACGAATTGATTTTACCTTTATAAACACATTGTAACACACAACCTCCATGTAAAAAACAAATACTCAAACATTCTGAAAAGTAATATCAAAAGAAAATCTATAAGATTGATACAGTAGATACTTCACTGATCCCGTGAGGGAAATTGCAGTGCAACAGCAGCTTTGCACAATCAACACAGCACAGTGTAATGAAATGATACAGTAATACAACCGTACAATACATACAATACAGTCAGTACAGTCAGTGAGAAGTGCACTAAAATGAGTTGCTCACAGTACAGAATATACAAAAAAACAGAACAGTACACAAAAAGTTGTATTACACATTATAAATATAAAAACATATTGCACATGTTCCTAGCATATATTGCACAAAAAACAGTTGTAAACAGGAAAAACCAGATGTAATAGGTCACATTTCGATTAAGCCGTAATTCTGTTTGGATAAATCTGTACCAACATAGCACACCTATATTTGGCAATGGTTGCTCATCCCTCCTTCCAGAACTGTTCAAGCTCAGTCAGATTGAGACAGGTGCGTTGATGAATTGCTTTGACTGCCTTTGTAATGTTGAAAGGCAAAATTCTGTCCCATTTTCAACTTTCTTGCAGAAGACAGGAGGTTTTCCACTGTACTTTTCCTGTACTTTGCTCCATTAATTACTCCTTCTATCCTGACCAATGCCCCACTCCCTGCCAATGAGAAACCTCTCAGTAACATGAGGCTGCATCTTCCATTCTTCACAGTAAGGACTGTATTTTCTGGGTAATGTGCTTTGTTGGTTTTTCACCAAACATAATACTTTGCATTTAGGCCAAAGGGCCCCATTTTAGTTTTGTCAGACCATAAAACATTTTGCCACATTTTGCAGCATCACTTTAATGCTCTGTTGCTGTTTTTTGCTTCCTTCTTTCTCTCCTGTCATTCAAGCTAGATCTGTAAATGTAATTTATAAGCAATGGTAAAATAAATTCTGATTTAATGTGTCTTGATTTCAGGCTGTTAGGCCACAAAATACTACTTTGGAAAGGGTGTGCAGACTTTCTATACGTGCTGTTTGTAAATATCTGTATATACACCAACATGTTCAATCAACCCACATAATAAAACTCTGTTTTATTGTATACAGCACGCACAGCTCTAACTTTTTATACATAATAATATATTATAATGAATTGTTGTATCAGTAAAAAGCTAAATCTACGCAGTATGTGACATGCACAAAGAATCAAATTTTCTTATATATACTGTAACACCATTCAAACAATGTATCCGTCTTGCTGCATGTTAAACCAATTCAGTAGAATAAAAACACATAAAACATAAAAACTATTAAGTAAATAACAGTTACAATTAAAACAATGAGCAGATGAACAAATCCAAACAACGCCCCAGTGGAATGAAATTTCCATACATAAGTGTTACTTCTTCCGTATCTAATATATAGACTAGATATGCACATGTTACAATTAACCATTGAGAGCTGGAGCTCATTCTTTCACAGATTGCTGACTGATTCACCACTATCAGCAAATATTCAGGAATTCAGACCTTCCCAGAACTGGCAATCCATGTGTGCCATCACAATGGCAAGGTCATACCATTGTCCTCTCTTGTTTGTGTGACTTTTTTTTTGACCAGCTTCCACAGTAGTTTAACATACCAGCAGAACATACCAGAGATCAGGATCTTATAGTTTATAGCACATACTTCACCAGACCCATTTACTTCATCATCTTTATTTAGGTGCATCATTAGGGTCACCTGGTGTAACAGTGGCAGAATGCTCGTTTTTTACTTTTGGATAGCATTTCTGGTTGGATTGGGCTGATTTAAAGAATGGAAGTGACATATGGAGGCATTAAATGGCTGTTTTATTAGTGACTGCTGCAGAGGACCCATTTGTTGGGCACAAAATATCAAATACATTTTGTTGTCTTTGAAAACAATGGACCTGTTAGGAGAAGTCACAATGCTATAATATAATATAGCATTATATTATTGAAGTTCCAACATGCTTAGATATGAGTAGTTCTTTGTTGGATAACATTGTCTTGTATACTAGCCAGAACATAACAACAAGGATGCTCAAATTTTTCTCTCATGGCAGAAATAAACAAATGGTGGATTGGTCGGTTCTCAGCTGTAGACAAAATCTTTTGCTCAAGAAATTCCCATTGCAGACACTAAGGCTGCCACACCTAGTAATGGAAATTTGCTTTTGGATTGGTAACATTAATTGACAAAACAGCCTACAGAAGTATATTTCCAAATTTACTATGTACTAAATAGCAAAACTTAATTTTTGAAAATATATTCTTAAATCTCAATGAAAGAACTTAAAGTTCAAAAGTAGATCATTTTAGACATATTTCTCCATTGGTGTCCTTTTCAACATGGTACAAAATTATTTTTCTTCATACCTGATCTCATTTTTAAGTTCTTTTGGACTTTTCACTTTAGGAATTGCAATCGTTTTTTATAAATTCAAAATAAGCCATTGACCTTGAGTTAAGATTTAGCATTGCATGTACTTTCAATAAGTGTCATCTTTTAATTTTAAACATGCTATTAATCAAGTGGAAGACTGTTACTAACAGGTTAATCTCACAATTAATACGATGTTAACATATTCCAGGCTTCAGATAATTGAAAAATAGAAATAAAGTATCATCAAGTCTTAAAAAGTAGTCATTTGGCATTGCAAATCAATAGTAACCAGGACAATAGCAAAGTCGCTCAAATTAAAAGCACAACATAGGCAGCAAAAAATAAAATTAAATAATAATAGAAATCAGATGTGATCAACTTCACCCTTAAAAGTTTGAGCAATATCTGTAAAAATAGCAAAATAACTAATGTCAATGTGATGCACATTCATTTTCTAAAGATTTGGGAATTTATGTGAGCATTTAAATGAAAATATAATAGAATTACAGTATATTATATGATGCACTTTGCATATCATTAATATACAGTACATTCATGTACAGTAGAGCTGCAGTTACAGTTTTGGTTCAAATCTGTCAATGTAGAAGAATCAGAAAATACAATACATTTAATACATTTTGTATTTAAGAATCTGGAAGATAAAATGCATTTTCTGTTTGAAAATAAATGGTATTGAAACATATTCATTTCCTGTTGGTCTGTGTTTTCACAGAAATGGCTGTGAGCTACAGTATGTTTGTCCTAACACAACCCTTTAAAAAATCCCATATGAAAATTTGAGTATATTACTTTCAGAATATTTTTCATTTCTTAGATTTCATTACCAAGTCAAGTAATATTGTGGAACTGTTGTAGAACTAAGGTTTAATGTTATAAGCAGTGTTTATCCAGTGATAATCTGGAGATTTCATACCCTTAACAACTTGCAGACATGCAAGTAGACAGAAGTAGAAAACATGTGTTCCATTCTTGCTTTCGTGTAAAAAGGATAACATAAAATAAAATTCTTGTTTGATGTGAGGTGTATTGCTCGATTTTAAAGATTTTGTAAATATACCAAAATATAAATCTTTTCAGTGTTTTCATTTGTGCTAAAGCATTTTGAGGACATTGTAATCTTAGAATGTTTGGGAAAATGCATTTTTTCTTTCTTGTTAAGACATCAGGTTAAAGTACTTTTCTAAGATTGAAACACGTTAAGCAAAGATTTAAACAGCTTTATTTACCTACACCTTTCTTATTCCAAATGGCTTTGCTTTAGTTCCCAATTCTGTTTTGTTTTTATTTTGTTATGATCTAAATAAATGTAACCTTCCAAAATGAACTGAAATAACTGTCAAAGCATGTCGTTAATTTGATTATATGATGTATAAAATATTCTAAATAGAAAATTGAGAAAAGTCCATAAAAATAACTTATAAATTCAGTACGGTAAGTGCTGAAAAAAGAAAAAAATGTTAAGGCAAAAATACCTTTAATTTTATACTAAAATAAACATATTTTGAAAATTTGTCTCCAAATGAAAGAAAAGGGAGTTAAAGAAATTATTCCCTTTGTGTGATTCCACTTTCATTTCCCTTTTAAAGTGATCGAAGCCTTTAATATGTAAATATCACCGCAGTAACTGTGGGTTTTCTTTGCTTTATGTTTAGGTGGGAATTTAAAGAAGACTGAAGAAAGCTCGGACACAGACAAAATACTTTGCAAGAAAAGCTTCCAAAATACTGTCACAAAAATCCAAGAATCACAGGAATTGTCTGAGGATGTCACTGCTGAAAGCTCCCTGCATGAAACTGGTACTCAGTGCACACAGCCAGACAGTGAAGGTGAAGTGCAAGACCAAGCAAAGGAGGATGAAAACAATGTCAGCGTGGGGGTTCAGAGTGTGACTTATTGCTCTTCAGGGCACGGCGAACACAGCTGTGAGAACAGGAAGGGTGAGTGGGATGGTTTGGCCAACTTTACCAAGGTGAATGGCATAAATGGAAGTCCATCAGAGAACACAAACGATTCACCGGGGAAGAAAGGAAATGCAAGAAAGTATGACGCAGATGAAACAGATTCAGATCCAGATGGCCAAATAAAGATACCACAGAGCCTTCAGGGAGGAGACCTGAACTGTAGGAAGGATTTAAGTGAAAGTGAAGATGAGGCAGAGGTAGTTGACACAGATGAAGTCTGGACCTCAGAAGTTTCGGAGAACGCTTTTGACTTTGACAGGGCTAAAGGGAACTTGAGCCTTCTTGAACAGGCCATCGCTCTTCAGTCTGAGCAGCGACAGGTTCTTCACAATGCTTACAAGGAGATGGACAGGTTCTTACTGGAGCAGATGAGCGGGGAAAGGAGGCACCACAGACTCATAGACATTGATGCCAGGCAAAGCTACAACGGATGTAAAGGTAGATGGCTTAAACATAAACAAGAATTTTGGACTAAGAATCAATGAGTCAGAGCTGACTAATAGCGCATGCTAACGGTTTACAAAATTAGAATATAAAGAAATAGTTAACAGAATGTTTAAGGATCATGTTTAGGTGTGTTATTTGTATTATTAGTGGATATGTTTAATTTGTTAATATGAAAATAAAATCTATAGTGTCTATAGGTATATCAGTTCATCAAATTTAAATATTACTTAATATGTCCCTAATATATACTGGATAGATTTAAACATATACTATAACTTAGTAGGTCTAAGGACCATTTGTAATATTTAGTTCATCAGATTCATTTTTGTGAAGTAGGCAAATGTTTAGTTAGAGGAAGCTGATTTACATGACATTACAAAATGAAGGATTTTAATTTAAGGCTTGTCTTACACATTTCATTTTTATTATTTTTGTTTTTTATTATGTTCAATTATGCAGATTAGAAAATGCAGACCGGTGAATTATTTGTCCAGCATTTCTTTGTGTTAGCTCCCAGTTGCCATATGTCTATCTAGGCTTTCTAGAAACTTACTTAACACTGACCTGGAAGTTGAAAATCCTCTTAGACATAAAAATCACACTGGTAAAAATCTGTAAACTCTTATGCTTTTCAATGTGAAGGTTAAATTATTGGATTTTGAAAGGAATCAACTATACATTTAACCATAACTGTAAGTCTTAAATCCTAAGTGCTTCTAATGTTTTATACTTATTTTTCATATGAGTGCTGCAAAATTTATAATCCCTGTTGTAATCTTTTCTATGGATAAGCATTAAGACGTGCATTCCCTGACTAAAACTGCAGCCTTAACTAAAAGAACAGATTAAAACATAAACATAAACATCCCACAGAAAAGAGTGTGTGGCTACAGTATCTTTTTTGTTTGCCTTTGATTCCATATACATTTCTAGGAAACACATACAATATACAGTAAATCCCACACAACATGCAATATCAAGGCAAGTTAATTAAAGCTGGGGAAAAGTTACATCCTATTTTAAAAGCAGTTGCTTATACCTTTTGTTTGTTTTCTCTTGGGTTTGTCTTCACATGTCAGGACATCTTTTAAAGACAAATTAATTACGTTGATATATTTCAACAGATAATGTTTCTCAATGAATAATCTTAGAAAAGTCATCTCAGAAAATGTTTTTCTTTATACATACGGTACAGGTTTAAGAAATTCTAAACACTAGCTTAAACACACTGTAAAATTGCAATGCCACTGTGAAACATGTACCTGCATGTAGTTTTCTTGCTGATGTAATGTAATTAATTAACTCTTCAGACTCTCCAAGATCTGATAAAAAAGAAATAAAGTGCCCTACACCAGGTTGTGACGGTACAGGCCATGTGACTGGGCTCTACCCACACCACCGAAGTCTGTCTGGATGTCCACACAAAGTCCGAGTACCACCTGAGAGTAAGTGAACAGATAAGTTTACTACATATTGAAGTAATGGTCAGAGCTTTGTTTGACAGCGTGTTCTTGCTACCACAGCTATGCACTGTGTTTGTAATTTGTGATTGGCAATAGAAGCTATATTTAAAAGTAATGTTGTATAGCATTATATACACATTCGTAATACAACAGTATAATGCAAGTCACAGGTGATGTGGATGTCACAGGTGATGCTCTGTCTAGACATTTGCAGTATAACACACAAGCTATATTAATTACTGAGCAGTTGTCAGGTGATGTCTGTTTCTTGTTGATGCATTTCTGTGTATTTTCTTTCAGCTTCCTTTCAGCTTTTTCAAGTGGTGAAAAATGCCAAAATCATATTGCACAGAAATGACAAATACTGTTGATACCTTAGTTTTCTGTTATGAAATACTGCCTTAAGCATGTGTTCAGCCAGTTGATGGCGCTACAACATGAATTTATCTTATTTGTAATCTCGTTTTGTTTTAAAAGAAGTATGTTTTGGTAGAATTAAAACTATAAACCTTGAATTACTGTAGTTCAGACCTTTGCCTATAACCCCTATTTATAAAATACATTACCGCGGTTGTGCTGCTTTTTTAATTGTGAAAGTAGGCTTGGTTGCATAACAAAAGGAACAAAAATGTAATTAACTTTTTCAATTTGAAAGCATGTATGTTTAAAAAAAGAAGCAGTATTTGCAAATCAAAGGGATGAACAATCCCTTGTTCAAAAATAAACATGCACATCCTTAAAACTAATTGGAAATTAGGTGTTCCGCAGAAATGAAAAGTAACTAAGGATACTAAGTGGGATTTTCAATTTAAACTAGCAATGCCTGTTCCCTTTAAAGTACAGACTATAATTAGCACAGGATTTTGTTTGCTGTTCATTCTTCAATTTTTAGCTTTCCTACAATTTTGATATTCACACAAATATTCATTGAAAGGTACATGTAAGGCAGGTAAGAATTTAAGAAGAATCAATTTACCCATACCAAAAGACATTTCATGATAATGATCTTCAGTATTGTGACCTGCAGTACATTCAGTCTCATAACACTCAGATCAAAGTAAAAGGGTATACTTCCAATGAAATAGATAAAGAAGAAGGTAAGCAAGCTCCATTCGTTATTTTGTCACAAGTTGCATACAGTGCCCAAGTAGTGAGTATGTCGGATGAGGAATGAGGCTGCACCAAGGACATGCGTAGCAGTCACAATTTCCAAATAAAAGATACAAAGAGCAGCCAGGACCCCTAGGAAGTGGGTCGTGGAGGCTCCCAACACAGCGCCACCAACTATTTGCCACAGTCAAATATTAAGATCCATCTCTGCTACAGTGAAACGCTAAGTTTAGAGTCACCATCTTACAAATCTAAAAAGTGTCAGATGTCCTGATCAAGAATAATGGACAGACCCAAAGAGACAAGTAATAGGTTTATTCCATGCTGAAAAAAAGAAGAAAG